AAAGTTGCATTTCTGTATCACGGAAACATCAATAGTTCATTTTTGTATGAGAATTTTTAAAACAATCAACAATATATAGAGGCACATTGCAGTTACCACACATATACCATATATCACATCCAACATTATGGGAGATGTGCAAACTACGCATTTTCTTTGAGACTGTCGTGATTACGATGCTTGTGAAATAAGCAAACGAAAAATATGACATCATGTACGAAGGTAGAAGGCAGGAGAGGAATCTATATGGCGGAAAGAACTAGAGAAAAGATATGCACAAGTCGGGAGGTGGGATAATCTATGACCTTTAAGACATTACAGATCATAACACTCTACATAAAATAATAAAGAGAAGGAATTTTCCCATCTGGAAAAATATCAAAATGATAATAAGGTAAGAGGATACAATCCTACAGCGAATAACCAATACATGAGACATATACCAATAGTGAACAAATTTCAGAACGTATATATCTGTCACCGGGAGCCAAGAGGTTAATTGATAAGATGTACATTATTGTACTTATAGTTCTATACACAATATATTTTTTATTTGTGTTAATTATAAAAGATATATATTTATTTGTTTTAAATTTAGAAAAAATTGTCTGAAATATATAAAATAAAATCACACTACAAAACTAAAGCTATATTGTCATAGAATAAAACTCAAATAAGTCCAGGAATGAATGCATACGGTACTGTTTTACAATACGTTTTCCAATCTTCACCGTATTTAGCCTTACATCGAGCTACATCACGCGTATAACGATGAATGATCATACCGAAAAAGAATATTGGATAAAAATACGGTAAAATACCTGGCCATTGATGACATGATAATGCCCAACATGTTGCCATACATATATCAGCTGTATAATGTGGTTTACGACAATATTTCCACCAACCATCAATTAATAATGTTGAACCACATTTAGTTTTTAAATATTTCGGATCTTTTAATGTATTCCATGGAACTTGTGGAAATGCATTCCGTGGTACATATGTTCCACGCTGTTGCATACGAAAACGATTTTTTTGTGCTTGAGACGAATCCCATATGTAATAAGCAAAGAAAAGTACAATAAATAATATAACAATTAATGTCATCGATGTACCTTCTGTTGGTTTTTGTGTTCTTAAAGAATTGACGAGAATGTAATTAGCTTGAAATGCATATACAAATGGAACACCAGCTAAATTCCAATAGATTAACATCCAACCCCATTTTTCATAGAATATATCCCAAGTGGTTGGAATACATTCTTCACCTTTCATACAAGCATTTATATAGAGTAGTTGAGCTGTTAAGATGAGGATCATTGGCCATGAAATAATATGAAATGCTTCATATTGTTTTATTGCAGCAGAAACAATCAAAAGAAATAATAAAAGCCATGATAAACGTACTTCCGCTAATATTTTTAGATCAACATCTTGTCCTAAAATTTTAACACGTGGATTTAACCAGACTCCCATAAAAAAATCATAAATAGGTGAATGTGTCATTCGACATGTTTGCTTTGTTTGTATAGCATAAAAATGAATAAATATCGATAAAATATCACTACATATCACAGCTACAAATAATACTGAACCAAATTGATCAACTAATATTGTTAATCGAAATATACCAGTTACATGACATATAGCCAGAAGTATTAATGTTAAATACCAACTAGTTAATGCATTACAATTATAAGTATATTGTCGATTGTTTTCTGTCGGTACTGGTAAACCTTTAACTTTCAAACCAGGTAAAATAGCAGCAAATACAAGTTGTAAAAGACAAAATCCTGTATAAAGATAAAAAGCAGACAATGTTGGTGAACATGTTTCTTTAAAATTTTCTATTAATTCATTAAATGATGATGGAAAATAAAGACCACCAGAATTATATCGAAGTGATAAAATAAAATAAAATGGTACAAAATGTGAAAATATCATTAAACCAATAGCTCCTGATGTACCACCAAATTCTTTTTCTTCTTTACCCATCGTTATGAATTTTCTGTGTCTGAAAAGTAGAAGAAGAGTATAAATACTAAAATCGAAAGACACCTTTTAAGAACATTCTACGGTATCTTGCTTATTTGTTGATAAGCATATATGGGCTCATCGACTGACGATAACATCGGTAAACAATGTTATCGTTGTCAAGACATCAAAAATAATATATACTTTCATCAATAAACATATCAATATTGTTAAAAAGATTGCATATAATCAATTAATATTGTTAATTTTTTGTTATATTAACAACTACTGTCATCTATCATGATTCAATTGGTTGAGTTTTTTCGTGTGACAACTAAGTCAATCAATTTCAGTTTTGTTATTATTCGTTCGTTGCATTTCATAACTCACAGATAGATTGCTTCTATGAAATGAAAGGTAATTATTTGTTCTGTAATGTACATTCGTCAGTTCTGTTTTTTTTTTCAAAATAACGGAGAAGTCTCAGCTGATGTTCAAGTACAATTTTAGTTTTGCGCTTATTTTTTTTGCTATAATGCCATTCAATATTTTAAAATCAGAGGACAACGATCGAGGAGATCTGTGTTTTCTTTACAGATCATATTTTTCAAAACAAAATTTTGCGTTCGAAATTAGCATTAAATTCTAACAAAGATGATGTACGCTTTTTTTTGTCGGAAAACAACTTTTATTTTATTTTTGTCACTTTCTACCTACCGTGGATTCTGAAATTAGCGAGAAGTTTTTTTGTTTAATTGTATTAAATCAGGTAATACTAGATGCAGACTTCGATGCTAATGTCTCATATTCGACGGGACACTGCCCACGGACATAACAGCTATTTTAGAATGTTTACCATGCACTTAAGTCTGCGAAATTGTTTCTTTTTAACCTGCATGATGTGAAAAAAAACCGGTTAAAAATCTAGTTTTGAATGATTTCACAGGTAAATATCTGACATTTTTTTGAAAAAGAACACGATTTCTATATCCTGTTGGGTTAGAACTGTACAATAATGAAATCAATGATTCATGATTGTAGCGAATAGACCCATACATTTTCTCATGCTGCTTCTCCGTATGACGCCAAAAATACAAAAGAAAATTTCAATAGCATGGTCAAAAAGTTAAACAAATGCACTAGTGTTTTGCCAAATATGGCTATGAGAGAATAATCTTCAAGTAAAATATATAGGACAGTCGTAACCAGTATAGAAAACAGTATCTAGTTTACAAGAACTCTCTTAAACAATATTTCCTATTAGAACATGATTCGTATTCTCCCGCAGTTTTTCTTCTTCCCATATAATTTCGTCAGGATTGATTTCGATCGAATGTTAATGAAAAAAAAAACACTTTGATCTCATAGAATTTATGATTGTGGATTCAGCTGTGTTCACTAATACCGAAGACCATATGTATTTCACTTATAAATCAATTTCAATTGGTTATAATCCGAAAACATTCGATCATCTTTTAACCGCCTTGCTCTGATAAGAATATGTGCATCAAATCATATGATCCTATTCGTAATCTTTTTCTTGTTTTTAAAGTCATCTTCAGAAAGGGCATGTTAAAGTGCATTGACCTATGTTTTATACCTATGGATTAGAGATTTCTTTATTGAATAACAGTAGGTCATGGTTACCTTAAAATCTTATTTTTTCGAAATTTCTACCTTAAAATTGTGTTTTTGATGTTCTAAGCACCTTGTTGAACCGACTCATGATAATAGCCTAAAATGACCCTCTATCAACATCCTATTATAGATCAATTTTTTGTTCATCGAATATCCTAACACTAACTATCTGACAGTTCTATTTCAGCTTAATTGCGAAGTTTAGCTATATGGTAGAGGACGGAGCAGTCAAAAACCTAATAGATAAACTGAAATCAGATTTACTGTAAAAGAGCTGATCTTCAGATTTCATTCATTTTAAAGTAGCTTAATGATCAAAACCAGCTCAATTAGTTGATATAGATTCATCACATGCCTATTCAGCAGCGAAATCTACATCTCGTGATACTTAATTTAACAAAACTTGTCAAAAGAAAATTTTTATAACTCCAGAACTCCCACCGATAATAAATGAAATTTATCTTTCACCTAGAAAAACATTCTTTTTGTTTACTCAGTCTTTTTATGTTGAATACGAAAATGCAATTCTTTTTTTAATGTTATGGGTACAAAAATTGTGATCTAATGGGCATACTTCCCTTCTTTATTATATAAAATAATTCATCGATTTTTCATTTGCTTAATATATGCCGTTAGTAACATACAATCTCAGGTAATATGCATCGATAAAAAATAGAGAAACGAAATATGGATTATAGAACTGATAAGAATATTTGTTTTTATGTCTATTGACCTAATCAAGAGAAAATATTATTCGCGTCGTTGATTTTGTTGTTCGTGTCGTATACAACATTCTACGCGCAAGTATTTTGAAACGACATAATTGCTTCAATATATAACAAATGTAAAATGACATATTACTCAATAATACTTAAAAAACCAGATATTGTGTTAATGATGTCGTATAATCTAGTATGATCTGCCAATTAAAATAAAAATAGTTTTTCTCATGTTTTTACATCAAACAGTCTATCATTGGATAGTCTATCGATTCTTTTTCTTTTCTCTCAATGCTGAAAGAAAAACAATAAGAATGATCACAGCTTTTTTTCTTCTCTTCACCTGAAAGAAACACGGGGAAAGAAGAGAATGCGTAAACATGAGCGATGGAGAAAGCGACTGCGCTTGTATCCGATAGAAAGAAGTACAACGCCCTTGATCAAATTTTCACATCCGACACTTTTTTTCCTCTAAAAGCATGATTATTCATTAAATAAAACCCTGCAATTATACCATGTTTTTCTTTTCGATGTTTTTTATTTGACATTCGACGCAAATATTGTTAACCTGATATTATATTTTTCTTCTTTCAAACAAAACAAAATAGAAAAATCAAATTTACATTTATTTTTTAGTGATTATGTAATTGAAAATTGATAAATACAATGAGTATATGTCGACAAATCGGTCTAGTTCTGTGGAAAAACTTCACTATCCGACGAAGACGATGGGTTTGTTGAGAGATTAATTAATTAAAAACGAAAAGAATTTCTTTTTTTAAAATTTAGCCTCGTGTACTCTTCGAATTAATTTGGCCACTCTTCTTATTTCTTGTTCTTATGTGGGTACGAACTCGCAATTTAGTCTTTTATTATGATGCCTGTGAGTATATATTCATTCAAGAAAAAGAAACAGAATGATTATTTTCATTAGGTCATAACGATCCAAAATATCTCGGATCAACTGGCTTTTTACCAGCGTTACAAACATACATTTGCCGATTGAATAATACATGTCATAACTATACAAATCCAACAGATCAACTTAAAACGTTAACTGATGATATGCCGTATGTATTATTTATTTATTTATTTACTTAGTTATTCTTTTCTGTTTTTATTCTCTTAGAAAGTTAATGAATCAGTTTTCAAATTTTACTGATAATATTTTAACGTTATTAAATGATGATCAAGTTATGAAAAATCTAACTCAACTTCTATCTCAAATAAACAATATTGCCACTAGCATAGATGTTTGGAATGGTAAAAATAGTTCATAAGAAAATAAAAATTCTTATTAATATTGTTTATTTTTGTTGTTTAAAAGGAACTATTTTAGCAAATAAAACAGCCAAAGATTTTAGTCAATCAATACCTGCAACGACGCTGAATATACTTTTTGCAAATCTTGTTAATTTATCTAATCTTCATCAACCATGGTTGATGAATAGAGGTAATTCATTATCGAATACAGAAGTTGGTGCTGAAATATTTTTGGTTTCTTTACAATCAAATTATGCTTATGTAAGTTTTGAAAAAAAGAATTTTATATATTTTTTTGAAGAAATAAATTTCTATTTGGTTTAGTCTTATCAAACAGAAACGAATATACAACGATCTTTTTGTATTAATGGACAATTTGATCAAACATTTTTAATTAATCGACCACAATCAATTGAAGCAAAAGATTTTTTATGTAATAACTTATCAGCAATTGATTTAAAAAATTTTTTAATTAGTGTACAACTACAACTTGATGAAACATTTTTGGTAACAAAAACACTTTTAAAGAAAATTTCGTTTTATTCAATTATATTTTTTCTATTTAGAATAATATGAGATCGAATATAATAAATATTGATCACACTGGTGCACAGGTACAGATTATAATTAGTTGTAAATATGTTAATATATTGATTTGTTAAGATTATGCAAACTACTCAAGAACTTCTTTCTCAATTCACACTCCTCAACAGTGGCTTTTTGTTTGGAGGAGCGAACGATAGTATCAGGTAAAATTTCAAGTTTTATTGAAAAAAAAACAATTAATTCGATCTGAAGATTGGATCGAATATCTAAAGGACGCTATTGCAGTTTATTAAGAGTTTTAATTACAATAGAGAAAAAAATTGTTTTTTTTTCTTCAAATGACTCAAGTAGAAAAACAAAGTACTTTTAAATTTTGGTGTAAGTTAACAAAAATATCGGTATAGTTAAGATTTACTGCCGACTTCATATTTTACTCAAATTTCCTAAAAAACACAAAATCTGAGAATTCAATAATCAATAATTCCTATATTACATTGATATTTTCAAATAGTTAGATCAACTTTTGAATCATACTAATAAAAAGAATCTTATCTAAATTATCTGAATCGAACAACATTCATCATAAAAGTAATATTTATTCTAACTATAGCGAGATTAAATTAAGAAAAAACTACAAGTTATAAACAATAATGAATTATGCCACAAAATAAAATAACCTTCTATCATTAATCAGTATGTATCTGCCACATTTGACATGAAAATTCACTTTAGTTTGTAATGCGCGAATTAATTTTGAAAAGCATCGATTGTAGTATTCAGACAATGAATTTATCTTTCGATTTCATTATTGTTTACAACTATTTATTATGCTCGAAAACTATAATTAGAAGACACATGTGGTGCAATTCCACTTTTCTTTTTAAAAGAAGCCCGCAATAACTTTTCCATCGTCTGAGCAGATACTTAAAAAAGAATCAACAACATTCTTCTGAAAATTTTTCACCAATCATTCAATGTCGTATAAGTTTAAAAAAATACATATATTCTATTGAACAAAGTCAATATAATCAATTTATTATTGTTTATCTATAAAATAACAATCTAAACACATTTCTATTATCAAGTAAACATCAGAATACAATTAACGATATCTTTTATTACAGATTTACAACATACTATTCCAATCTCAGTTAAATTTTTAACTTATTTGTCACATAAAAGTCCTTGGGAAAACGATAAACTCTTTTATGTCGTATTGCTGACTTCTAAATCAAGAAAAAGTTTGTTGTTGTTGTTGTTGTTAGAAAGAGCAATGTTTGAAGTATGCAGCAGACATATTTTTTTCAAAAAAATTCAACGAGGAAGAAAAATTTAAAAACAAACGTCTCTACAAAAGTTCTTGAAACATTTTTCAAAGTTGAAAAATTTGTATGTCCGAATTATTTTTAGCTTCACGAAAAATTCAAATTTCAGCACACCAAAATCTCTATCGATATCCGTTTTGGCTAAATTTGTTAAATCTGTCCTTGGATCATTTATCGAACAAGTTTAAAAGATGACATTTTTATGACATGCAGTCTTTTACAAGAAAGATCAGTTTGCAAGAACATCAGCCGTCATCTTCAGAAATTATACGTGAACTGAATTCTTTTTGAATGTTATTTATTCGAAACATTTTAGGATCGTATTAGCGGAGAAAATAATTAGGGCAAAAAACATTATCGTTGCAAAACGTCCAGCTAACTGTGTCTTTTTTTAAAGAAAAAGTTATTTTTTGTTATAAAAATCAAGAGTAAATTAAATTTTCAACACACCATTGAAAATAGCACTCGTTACGCTATAAAAACCACCACTAAATCTGTCTTTTCATTTCCTTTCTCATTAAAAAAAATTATCAAAGAGTAAAATATGTTATTGTGCGATAGTGAAATTGTAAAAACCTTTTTGAAAATATATGGCCTTGAACTTTTTTCCTCGTCAAATTTATACCGAAAAAATATGTCTGGTGCAAAATTTGAAATTCAAACATCGCTTTTTCTAACAAAAAAAAACTAAGTTTTCATGATTTAGAAGTAGGCAAAGTGTCATAAGATTAAGCTTCTACAAACAGAAACACCTTGAAATCAGCCTATAGAATATTCTGTTTCAATTGCTTATGATTCATATAGAATCGATGTTTTTATTTGTTTTGAACTCGTATACAAATACATATAAAGGAAGTGACTCACAACTTTTGCCTACGTAGTGTGTATTTTTTCCATGGCAAGTAGATACGTATGTGACTCTCTTGCTTGGAAAGGGATTTCCTCGCTCAAAAATGATTGGATATAACGCAAAAATTATTTGCGAAGACAAAAAAAGTTTTTATGAAGAACATTTTCCGATGACAAGTGCTCGACAGAGATCCTTGCCCTCATTTTTTCTTCAAAATTGTTTGGCGTTGTAAATCGTTCGATGCAGTTTAATGCGCTGTTTTCAAATATATTATTTTTGTTCATTAAATGTTTTTACAAAGACAACAAAACTGAAAAATACATGAAAAACTAAGATTTTTTTGGATATCTATTATGCAATCCACAAATGTCCGCGTTAATAACGGTTAGCAATAGTACACAAAAGAACATTTTAAAAAAAATTAGAGGTTGGATGTGAGTAAATTGCTCATTTTGCGGGACTAACTATTCGAATGATACTATAGAAAGAATATTATTTTTTTTCTTTAAAGTTAAACGTGTAAATCAGAAAAATATTTTTTACTCCTATATAGAGCTCGGCTTGAAGATTTAGAATATGTACTTGATTTGTCTGTCGAATATTTTAATTTTGTCAAATATCAATTTCCCTGGTGACATCATGATTTTTAGGCTAATTCTTGGACAACTAGTGCTTCAGTTTATATGAGGATTGTAACAAAGTTATTTATGTAATTAGATGAACTATATTTCGAAGTATATTTTCCTATAAGTAAATCTTGAAACAGTCCGATTTTTATTTTTAGCTAGATATACGTCTAGATGCACACTATTGGAGGTAGAGTTTCGTCGGATCGAAAACTTTCGGATCGGGACCAAATTGAACCGTACTTTGATACTTTTAATGAAATTTGCCTAGTCGGAATAGGATAATCATCCAGAAGATACGAGATACTTTTCTCCAGTTTTTTATATTTAGTAACTAATACATTCTATACATTTCTCTGACGAATTATCTGAGAGATGTGTATGGCAAAGTCCATCGGGTTCAAAGTTTTCAGACCCGGATATAACGAGGTTCGAGACTAACCCGTTGGGCTCTAGTGGGAGAAGGAGTATAACTCATGGGAAAAGTTTCAGTTCGTATTAGAAAACAAAAAGTAAATTTCGTTTAATCTATTTTAGTTTAGAAACATTATGTGGTGGACGCAATGATCTTTCAAATTATTTTAAACCTAATTCATATGCAACTAATGAATCATCAGATCATTCGAACACCATGAGTGCATCAAATGATTCTTCATCATATAAGAAAAGTACAGTTTCTGATATTGCTTGGGATGATGTAGCATCAGATTTACTTTCTTATAATGATTCTAATATGTGCAGTCAATCATATATAGTTGGTTCTGGTAATGTTAAACAAACGATACGCGTTAATCGTACGTGTCGTTGTGTTCTGTTTGATCAGATATTTAATTCGAATCGACAATTAAAAGAACTTGGTCGTCTCGTACGTCCATTACTTTATGGAAAAATTTATTATTATCCATCAAATATTCATTATGATAATTTAATAAAACAAATTAATCAAACATTTGAATCATTAGATGAATTAGTAAAATTATTTCGTCAAATACAATCAAGTATTCAAATAATATATAAAAGATTTACACCATTATGTAATATGTCAATGAATTCAACAGTTATTTGTCAACAATTAAATTCCTATAGAAGATCAGTATCTTTCTTTATAATTTTCACTGAATTTATAGCTTGTTCAGAACGTAATCGTTTTGTTCCAATGCCAAGTGAAACAAATTTGATAACTGAAGGACAAAATCATTCATTAACAGATACATTTCTTGCTGGTATTGTATTTCTTAATGATATATCAAATAGTGATAGATTACCCACACATATTAAATATAAAATACGAATGACACTTGATGATGTGGATAATACATTTCGAACTGAAGATCGGTAAGACGAAAGAAAATTTGATTTAAATTTCGTCTTTTTTTTTTCAATAATTTATTTTCTATAGATATTTTACATATGCACCACGTTATTTAGTACCAACGGCGACTAAATATCACTCATTTACTTTTATTTATTTACAAAATGCTCTTGATCGTGCTATTATTAATACACAAACAGGATTAAATCTATCATATGGTATACAAACTCAACAAATGCCTTATCCATGTTGGATTAATGATAGGTATAATATTAGATTTTAATAATTTGGAGAAAAAAAAAATACTTATGAAAATTTTTGTTTAGATTTGTTAATTCCATTAGACAAATGTTACCATTATTTATGGTATTAAGTTGGATATTTACGATATCCATGAATGTTAAAGATATTGTTTACGAAAAAGAAAAGTAAGAAAAGAATATTCAAATAGAAATTTTAATATTTATATTTTAATTAGACGATTAAAAGAAATAATGAGAATTATGGGTTTAAATGATTCTGTTCATTGGTTTACATGGTTTATTTTATGTACTATTGTTATGATAATAACAGCTACATTACTTGTCATTATTTTGAAGGTAAATTAATTGTTTATTTTATTCTTTTTTTTTAATTTAATGAATCATATTCTTGGAAAACAATATAATGAATATTTGAGAAAAAAAAATCTATAATTTATTATAGATGATAATGCTTCATTATAATCATCTTGTACAGAAAATTTTTTCGAAATCAAATTTTGATGTGTGAGTGTATGGGTGTTAGCGAAGGAGATATTTACATCAACAGTCACACAATTGTGCTAGATTATTTGCCGACGACTATTTCGTGACGAAAAGTTTTATTACTACTCCTGATAATACTGTCTACCGTAGAGCTCCGTATGGGATGAGGTGAAAGAAAAAGAAGTATTGTATGGCATTGACTCTTCTAGTCTATCCTATGGGACGGGATAGTTCTCGGAAAATTTCTGTTGGCATGTGACAATAAGAATAATATTTGATATTGAATGATATTTTGTATTAACGTGTGATCGAAAAGTAATTAGATAAAATGTTCATTTGCTTTTCAGCTTCTTGAAGGAGCTTGCAGAAATTCGAAAATATTGGATGAAAATAAGAATGTTGTGTTCTTTTCGAGTATGAGTTTCAAAATTTTGTACGTCTTACCGTTTAAAAGTTATGAGTTTTTAGCAGCCCGGTAATTAAGTTTGAACGAACTTTCACCTATCAAAAGTAACCCAAAGTAGAAGCGAAAATTATTCTAAATACAGAAAATGAAAGAGTAAATATTTTTCTGTAAAATGATATCTTCATAATTGATTTGCTCCAAGTCATTTGTCAACAATAAGTATTTCAGATAAAGAACATCATGTCAATTAAGATAAATTTCTGGATTTCTATGTAAAACAGACGTCTAAAGTGAGCTCAATCGTCCGTTCTAAGACTTTTGATTCTTATATCTCTTTATAGACAATAATTTCAAAATGAGAAGTCCTACAAAAATTTGGAATCTATCTTCGGAAATAATACAAAGCTTTGATTCAAATTGAATGTTTTCAAAATTCTGCAAGCTTTTTTAAAAGATTGAAAAGTAAATGAATATTTTGTCTAATTTGTTTTCGATCATCCTTAGCTAATACCAATATGATTCAATAGCGTATTGATATTTTGGTACGTCTAATTTTCTATCCCTGGTGAGATGGAACCGCCTATAAAACTACCTACTCTACACGGAATAGGATTGTTTCAAAAACACGTGGAGTCCTGGCTAACAGCTACTATCATAAAGGTCGAATAAAAATCTGTATCTCTCAGTAAAAAATTTAAAGTCCTTATTCATTTAAAATTAAAATGTCTTTTGAATTATAGTATCCTAATAACTATGTATCTAGTGACTTCAAAAGAAACGTAAGATAGAATTTGCCTTAAACCACTAAGATAAACAATAAATCTAAGTATTGTAATATTCTGTTGAATGTGTTTTAACATTTAAACGAATTATAAAATCATACTTATAATATTCTATTTTATTTTTAGTTTGGAAAAATCACTCAATTTTCCAATTTTCTAATATTATTTCTTTTCTTTGTTTGTTATACATTTGCAACAATTACACAATGTTTTCTTCTAAGTGTTTTTTTCAATAAAGCTAATTTAGCTGCTTGTGGTATGTATTTTTTTAAGAATATTTTAAAAAGACATTTCTATGCTTATTTTAGGTGCCGGAATTATTTATTTTGTTCTTTATTTACCTTATACACTTTTAATAAATTATGATACTCAAGTACTAAGATGGCATAAAATCATTGCTGTAAGAATTGAAAGTCGACAGGAGAAAAAATAAATATTAAATAGTAATTTTCATTTCTAGTGTCTGTCCTCAACTGTGTCATTTGGAATTGGTTGTGATTATATAGCTCGATTTGAAGGTATGGCACGAGGTATTCAATGGAATAATATAAATAAAGGTGCAAAACCAAATGATAATTTTACATTTCTTTATTGTATGATTATGATGCTTGTGGATTCGATACTTTATATGATATTAACTGTTTATATTGAAAATATTTTTCCCGGTAATATAGAGAATATAAGCAAAGGATTTGGTCGAATAAGATGACTACTCTTCATTTGAAAAGTCATCTGTACCGTTTCGTAGAGCAACTCGTGCCGCATCAAATGCTATATTCTTCAGTAAGTTTTAATATTCTGAAAAGCCATATACCAGTCAAAATATATCATAACAATCGTATATAATATGACCAAGTATTAGAACTCAGTATAAATTGTTCGATATTGCTTCTGCGGGCAAAATCAACCATCCGTGCAACTTTCTCAGAAACTGTGTGTTACCAACCTCTATAAGTATACCAATCGATTGTATTCTGAATTGATGCACATCATGGTCGAATCAGCCAATTAGTGTCTAAAAAAAGGTTCATTTTTCGATTCCTAAGAGTAGAAAAGTATCTAAGTTTTACGATAAATACTTTTCTGAGTGAAAAGTTTCTATCTATTAATAATAAGTTCATCATGCCATATCATTTGATATATATGAATCGTTTGAAAATGAAAGAAAAGTTTTTCACTTTCAGACCCCTAAAGTAGTGTGCTGGGATATACAAAATCTTTAATTTCAAAAAGACACCGAACATATATTGGATTTAATAGAGCTTCATACTCTAATCATAGCCGACCAGTTAGAATCTAATTTCGTAAAGAAAAAAATAAAATAAAAACTAATCTTCTTCATAGTGTTCATTCTCGTACCTCCCTCCAGGCACCCGAAAGTGAAACTATTTTTCGAAAGATCCATATATGTCAAATCATAGGGCCTAATGGGCTTATTCAATTGTTATACTTTATAGAACTTAGTAATACACAATTTTTGAGAAAGTCGCACGGTTGGTTGCCTTTGGTCTCAAGAGCAGTATCGAATAGTTTAAAAAATCATCAAATCTAAAAGTATAGAGGCTGGTAAAAATGCTAAAGCCTTGGCTATGAAGAAAGCTATTATTAGATATATCTGATTAAAGATCAGACAAAACTCTATTGAAATAAATTTTGAACAAAACTTGATATAGGTTGGTTTGGAGACGTCCTGAGTGCTAATATTTGATAATTTCACCCACAATTGTTTTTATATTTCTAAACTGGTATATGGTTTTTCAGAATATTAAAACATTAATGAAAAATATACCATTTGATGTAACATGAGTTGCTCTACAAAACAGTAAAGATGACTTTTCATATGAACGGTAGTCATCATATCCTACAGAATCATGTGATTAAAATTTTCAATTAAATTTATTAGGTGAATATGGAATTCCTCAACCATGGTATTATCCATTTACAAAAACATATTGGTGTGGTTATAAAGCAAAAAAAAATCAACAACGTATAAATGAACTCAATCAAAATCAAACGAATGTTAATACTAATAGTAAAAACAAATTGTTTGATGCAAAAAAAATCATATTTTTTATTTTTCTTTATAGTTGAAAATGATTATGATAATATTCCTCAAGCAGAAATTGGAATTGATATACAAAATATATCAAAATATTATCGAAATAAAATTGGATTAAATAATTTATCTGTAAAATTCTATCGAAATATGATAACAGCATTTCTTGGACGTAACGGTGCTGGTAAAAGTACAACATGGTCTATATTAACCGGTTTAATTCCACCATCAAGTGGTACAGCATATATTGATGGTTATGATATATTAACGGATATAAAAATTATACGAAAACGATTAGGATTTGCACCACAACATAATATTTTATTTGATCGTTTAACAGTTAAAGAACATTTAGAATTTTTTTCTGCGTACGTAAATATTTTTTATTTATTTAAATAATATGAAAATGTATTATATTTTTGTTTTTTTAGATTAAAAGATGCACCACAAGACTTAATTGAAGATGAAACAAACAAAATGCTTACAGATTTAGGAATTGAAAATAAATCAAATAATTATTCAACTGAATTATCAGGAGGAATGAAAAGAAAACTTTCAATTGCTATTGCTTTTGTTGGGAAATCTACAACAGTTATTTTAGATGAACCAACAGCAGGTATATATATATATATTTTGAATTCGATTGAAATTCTTATCTAACATATAAAGCATTTCAAATTATCAAAAAAGTTACGTTTTACAAAGTAGGCGTAGTCGATACAGTAAGCAATGAAATGTCGGTAAACAGGTTGTTTTTCATGACATGTACAATTTCTTCAAAAATGTATGCGGACACCCACAAGGTTTTGATAGAAGTTATTCACATGAACATATTTGATTTGCGAATATGTCTATAACAAGATTCTTCTGTTTTTCAAGTGCCAGTGTTCGTTTTTCTGACATGAGAATTACTTGATATGCAATCACCCTATAACGAGAGCAATAGAAACTTAATGCTGAGGAATGTCAAAACTTGTCTACAAAAAAAAAGCGTTAAACCTGAGATGTTTTCATAAATCGATCACGAGTACTTTGAAACGTGAATAGATTTTATTCAAATTATAAAAATGGTGGTTGAGCGAAAAAGTTTTCAATCTTGATCTTTTTTGTTTTCAATATTACTCAAAACATAATGAACATGTTTTACTTGTTTGTCGTACTAAATTATATTCAAATTAAGAGATAATTTCATAGAATATGTCTTATATTTAGGTGTTGATCCATTTGCACGACGTGCTATATGGGATCTTATACTTAAATATAAACCCGGTCGAACAATTGTATTATCAACTCATCATCTTGATGAAGCTGATTTATTGAGTGATCGTTTAGCAATAATTTCATCCGGTGCATTACAATGTGTTGGTACAACAATGCATTTAAAACATAAATATGGTGAAGGTTACAATTTAATTGTTGAATTAACATCAGTGTCAGATGAAAATGAACTTAGACAACAACAACAACAGCAGCAGACAGTAGCTATTTATTTTTCTTATTTTATACATTGTCATTAGAGAGAGCTGCGAGTTGTTCCAAACCTGGATCAGAGTTCGGATCTAGAGATTTTTGTTTTCGTTGGATTCGGAGCTATATCCAGATTTGATTTCAGAGCCAGTTTGTATTCAGCCTTGAGTCTGAATAAAGAAAAACTAGTCTCAGCCTACGCAGGTACAATAGTTCGAATGCGGTTCAACTTAGGAATGACTATTATCTCCGAGAAAACAATGAATAACAAAAATCTTGATCCTCCATTTAATCATGTATACAGAGGATCCGTATATTGATGGAAAAAAATCTCTGGTATAGATCAGGCACCTATTGGTTGTCAAACAACAGACTGCTTACATCTCTGATTTGCGAGATACATGAAATAAGTTAGTAATTTGCATGAGTCCACTAGAAAATAAAGTTTTAGCATATAAACTCGTCAGTTACCGATCGGATTGATATAACAACGGGTACGGTCTCAATCTGATCTGTTCTACAAACAAAAAAACGCGAACCTACAATACTCTAATTATGATTCTTTGATTTTTAGGATTCGGCAAATAACACACTCGATCCAATGAGTATAGAATTGAATATAATTCATGCTGATACAAATTCTTCGATGCGTTTTAATCCTTTAACAGAATTTCTTAAAACTTACATGACTGATATACGTATAAAAGAAGAACATGGTGAACAAATAACATATGTTATACTAGATAATGCTGAACATACAAAAATATTTCCAAAAATGCTTGCTGATCTTGATGAAAATAAAACAAAATATCATATTAAAAGTTATGGTTTATCAAATAGTAGTCTTGAACAAGTATTTCTTCGTGTTGCTGATGAAAAAAAACGGCCAGAAGATTATGAACGTTTATCATGTTGGAAAAGAATGAAAAGTCGTGTTAAAAAATGTTTTGGAAAACATGAAATTATAGAAGAAGAAAAGAACAATGAAATCAATGAAGAAGAAGATAGTGATAATCAAGAACTATTTAATACACGTCTAAGTGGTATGAATTAAGATAATAGTTTTTCCATTTAAAAAAAAATAGATATTTTCTATAATCAAATATTTAATATACGTAACTACCATTTGAGTTCTTTTAATTGGGCTAAAGTTTTGTTTGACTGTCTCTTGAAAATAAATACACTTACTTACATTTAATATTTGTATTTTTTTTAGAGGAATGGAGTTCCTATGCTGATGAACGTTATACAGGTCTATGTTATCTAGTTGTACAAATAAGTGGATTATTTATAAAACGATTTCATCGAACAAAACGTAATATTAAAGCATTGATAGCTGAAATTCTTCTTCCAATCATATTCGTCTTACTTGCTATGTTAGTAACAAAATTAGCACCAAATCAAAGTGAACCACCGCCACTTATTCTTCATCCATGGTATTGGGGTAAACCAAATTATATGTTTCAATCAATACCAATTAATAAAATTTCATTATTATCAAAATCTATTCAACAAACATTTACTCAATCACCATCATTAGGTACTCGTTGTATGAAAACAACAATGTTAGACAAACAATTATATCCATGTGATACGAGTAATGTTGGTTATACTTCTGTATCAACTAGTGATGAGATAATGAATGCATTAAATAATGTTAATTATAGTGGAACACATATATCACCAGAATGTGATTGTTGGGAAAAAATGCAAACATGTCCAACAGGTGCTGGTGGTCCACCACCAAGTTTTGATACAACAGAAACACAAGATACTTTATATAGTCTATCTGGTTATAATATAACTGATTGGTTTGTAACATTCGAAAAGAAAAACATTATTAAATTGTTTTATTTTTGTTTAGGACAATAAAAACAGAATTTCTTGATGAATTTTTAATGAAACGTTTTGGTGGTTTTGATTTTTTACCACAAACTAATTTAAGTAGTATTGATCTTGTAAGTGAAACATTAATTAATCGATTAATGGATTTAATGAGTCGAACAAATCAATCAGTATCAAAGATTGATGGTGCCAAAATTGCTGCTCTCTTTCGAATATATCCGCCAGGAGTTTCGGTAAATAATTTAAATTTTATTCATACTGATTCGTAGATTAATTCTGTTTATAGAATTTTGTTTTCTCATATAGGATAAAATAAGAACAATTAATTCAAAACTTTAGTCAAAGAAAAATCTGAATACATTCTCAGTTGCATTTTTATTGGAAACTTTTTAAAAATAAGAAATGAGTTTTAGATCTACATTTTTCTATCAGAAGATTACTATCTCCAGTTCGAATTCATAAAGTTATGTTCTAACACAAGCATCGATCTAATCACTATACTCGCTATTGCTACCACTGCTTCTTCGTCATGCTTCGTTGTACGACTAAGGAACGAAATCAAAAGATGCTAAGCTATTTCGACTTTCAATACAATGTTGAGCGTGTAAGCAAAATCTATATTAAATGACGTTGTCGAAACCGAATGTGCTCAAGTAGGATGTAGGTACAGCCCATTGGTTTGGCCTTGAACTCAATGGGTTTTATTCGCCTGACGAGTGAATTTTTCCAGGTGTCTGTGTTCTGTTAAGCTAATATTTTGCTCATAAGTACTTCTTAGGGAACTATGAAATTCCTTCAAAAGAGTTTGTGCTCATGAGCGTTTCTTGTCGAGTATTTTCCACGCACATAAAAGTAATAGCAAACGGCTTTTGAGTAATATTAACATGTAGAAGATTGTAAAATCTTTTTTGAGAGTGAACTTCATGATAATTAGATTAAAACAATAGATAAGTGTTTCAGCTATATCATCAGGTTAAACTGTTACAAATCAATCAGGGATCGTTTGAGATGAGGTGCCATTTTCTTTTAATTCAAGATATAAATAGATCTCTATCTCAAAAAAAAAATTCTTTTTTAATCATTAATATTCTATTCCAGGTTTGGTATAATAATAAAGGATGGCCAGCAAGTGTAGCATTTTTAAATTTATTTAATAATGCATTATTACGTGGCGTCCTTCTTAAAGAACAACCTTCAACATCAATTGATGATTATGGTATAACAGCAATAAATCATCCATTGCCACAAACAGAAATTCAAATTGATAGTGATTTACAAAATCGTGTTGCTATAGAAATGTTTACAGCTATATGTGTTATATTTGCATTAGCATTTGTTCCTGCAAGTTTTCTTGTTTTTCTTATTGATGAACATGTAACAACATCGAAACATTTACAATTTGTTAGTGGTGTTAAAGGTAATTAATTGTTAAAACTAATAGAGCAAAAAAGCAAAGAAGTTTTTTTCTTTTCTGATCTTTGTTTTATTTTTAATGTTTAGGCATAACGTATTGGTCGGCAAATTTTCTTTGGGATTTAATAAATTATTGTATATCAATAGCATTTTGTTTAATTATATTTCTTGGTTTTGGTATTGAAGCATATGTATATAAAATGAATTTTCTTTGTTTATTCTTATTATTATTATTATATGGTTTTGCAATAATACCAATAATGTATCCAATAAATTATCTATTTCGTTCACCAGCAACTGGCTTTGTTGTTATATCATCAATTAATATATTTATTGGTTTAATGACAACAATATCAACAATAACATTAGAAACTTTTCCAGATGACCCAGATTTACAAAACGTTAATGGAATTTTAACAAAATTATTTTTAATATTTCCACATTATTGTCTTGGACGAGGTTTATTTGATTTAAGTAAAACTCATACAAAGAATGAACTTAGTCTTAAATATAGTTAGTTTTTCTTCTTTTTTTAAGTCTGTAGATTTTACAGTAATTCTTTTTCTTTATAGTTTCGGGTTATGTTCCCATATCACCATTTCAGTTTGATATTATTGGTAGAAATCTTTTATGTTTATTTGTTGAAGGTGTAGTCTTTTTTATATTTACAATACTTGCTCAATATCGATTTTTTATTCCTGATCGGTCAGTATTACATGTTAATATTTTAATACAATGCTTGTTTGTTTTTCTTTTTGATTCTAATATTTAGTGGTTGTGTTGCTACACCAAAACATTTAATATCAACAAATCAAGATGATGATGTAGCTGCTGAACGACAAAGAATTTATTCTGATCATAATAATTTAAGTGGTGATATTTTAAGAATGATTGATTTAGTTAAAGTATGAATATGAAAGGATAAAAAAAAAGGGAAAATACTTTCTTTTTTGATTATTCATAGGTTTATGGATGGAGATTAGGAAAAACATTTGCAGCTGTTAAAAAAACATGTGTGGGTGTGAAACACGGTGAATGTTTCGGTTTATTAGGTATAAATGGTTCAGGAAAGTCGACAATATTCAAAATGTTAACTGGAGAAATCTCAATGACAGATGGTAATGCATTTGTTAATAATTATAGTGTTATTAAACAATTAAGTGCTGTTCATCGAAATATAGGGTAAAGAAAAAAGAACGAAGAAGAATATTTGTTTTTATCTGATCGAATCTACTTTTTAGTTATTGTCCACAGTTTGATGCACTTGATTCTTTATTAACAGCACGCGAACATCTTTATCTTTATGCTCGTCTACGTGGCATAAAAAGAAAAAATATTCCATTTGTAAGATTACTTTTCTATCAAACTCCATAAGCATGATAAAAATCTTAGTCGTGAGCCATTAGAGATGTTACTGGAGGCTATTGGATTCAAAATTTCCGGACTTGGCTTCCATCAATTGAAACTTTTCGGACCCACACTTGAATCCAGTCGAACCGTACTTTGATAGTCTAAATGAAGTTTTCTAATTGAAATTGGATAGTCATCCCGAGGATACAAGATGCATTTTTCCAATTTTTCGTATTCGGTGACTAGTGCACCCTACACATTTCTCAGACGACTAGAGCCCGTCTGATCCAAAATTTCTGAATCCAATTAACAGAAAAATTTCAGATCCCAACCAATCCGACGGGTTAAAGACGTAACACACATCCTTAGCAACATCTCTCTTTCATCACGAATCGTGACAGATGCCTTAGCAACACTGCTCCCACTCATGTCACCACAGAGTGTAACAGATGTTGTTAATTTACGATCAAAGGTCGCATATAAATAACATCTCATTATAATGCATGAAGAACTTCGTTATTGCATTTCTGGACGATTAAGTAAAAGAATGATGAACAAAATGTATTTCAAAATAGATAGAATAAAATAGTCTCCCTATGATTAGTAACAGCAACTACATCGTGTTTTACATTTTAAACCCGCAGAGATTGTACTAATAGCTTTTGATAATATATTAGTATGTTCTTTAAAGTTTTATTCTCTATACTTTCATATAAATGTCTATACCTACAAACATTAAAATAAAAATAGTTTTATTAATGGTTAAATTTGAATTTGAAGTATTCATAGTTATGAAACAAACACTAAAAGTCGCATTGGGCAAAAACACATTCGTTTATGTGAATCTGATTCAGTGAAAGATCAAGAATACCCTAGAAAACCAACAAAAAAAAAGTCAGCAAAGTTTGTAATGTTTGTAAAAATGAATTATAATCAAGTGTTCAAGTTGTCACAACAATGTGCTCTATTCTACGAACAACAATGCACCTTATTCGGTTTCTATGAATGGTATTCAGTAATTATTCGGTGCACTATTTTTCGTGGAATGCAGCAGCTTGAACATTTGATTATGATTCATTTTCGCAAACATGATGAACTTTGCGAATTTTTACTCTGTAACTTTTGATGACCTTCCAGAACGTTCTAGATGTTCTACTATATCAATTTCACAAAAGCATTGAAATATAATCTTAATACAATCTTCACTTGATATGCTTTTGTCAAAGACGACTTTTATTTTATCGTTTCACAACCATAAAATGACTGGATTTTGATCATTAATATATTTATTTTTATCTTCAAGTATGTAGTTATAGGCATGTATCTAATAATGTACAGAAAAAAGGATTTAAAGAACACTAACATATTATAAAAAGATAAATTAAATCGCTTGAGTTGTATAAAGGAAAGTTATATTAATCTTCTTTCAATAGACCTTTTGGCACGCCCTATACATTAAGTAAATGAAGCAAAAGGATAAAAAGACTTCTTTTATAGATTGCTGATTGTTTATTAAAACGACTTGGTCTTACACTATGGGCTGATCGACCAGTAAGACAATATTCTGGTGGTAATAAACGTAAATTATCAACAGCTATTTCACTTATTGGTAATCCATCGGTTATATTTATGGATGTAAGTTTAATAAAAACTATTTTGAATAATAATAAAAAACTAATGAATAATCATTCTTAGGAACCAACAACTGGAATGGATGTACGTGCTAAAAGATTTCTATGGAATTGTATATTAACATTAACTCGTAAAGATCATAAATCAGTTATAATAACATCTCATTCAATGGAAGAATGTGAAACATTATGCAATCGTATGAATATTTAATTCTTATTTTTCTTGTCGTCTTCAAGATATTTTTTTCTTTATATATAGGTCTTGTTATTATGGTTAATGGAGAATTTAAATGTCTTGGCAGTGTACAACATCTAAAAGCAAAGTAAATCTAATTTATTTTTTTTTTATCAAAAGCTTTTTTTGTTGTTTTATTTTGATTTAAAGATTTGGTGATGGTTATACAATACTTGTTCGAACAGAAATTAATAGTGATACGAAAACTGTAATTAATTATATAAAAGAACGAATACCCGAAGCTGATATTAAAGAAGAACATAATAAAATGATACATTTTCGTGTATCAACAAATGTTCCATTATATAAAATGTTTAGTGTATTAGAAGAAGCACGTGAAGATTTAAAAACTATAATCGAAGATTATACAGTTACACAAGTAACACTTGATGATGTATTTGTTAATTTTGCTAAAATACAAGAAGAAAGTCAAATATTAGAACAAAGCAATAATACTAATACAAATGAAGATAATTGTTTAAAAAGAAATTTTTTCTATAAATTATTTTCTAGAAAACGTAAAAATATAATTGGTATGTTGAAATTATTGGTTTTTCTTTTGTAATCTAATATTATTTATTGAAATTTATTTTTTTTGTTATAGAATTAACTAAACTTTAGTTTTCAAATTATAATGGTATGTACATAGAATAATTTATTTATTTTGATATATTCTAATTCAGATAAGACCATATATTTTGTTTTGTTAGTTCTTTTCATACTTTGAAGATTTGCAGAAAAAACCTTCAAGAATACTTTAAAATTCTCTTTGTAGTGCTACTTTTGTACTCGAGGGTATATATGATTATAGATACGTTAACAGTAATAATATTGCTATTGCAAGAATTGACTGATTCCATTGTTTATTATTATGTTTAATTAAATAAATGAATATGTGCTATTTGTTTTAGGCATATGATAAAATTCAACGATACGAAGTCTTCGAGAAAATCTTTTTTGTTTTTTTTTTGTCAACTTGCGATAATAACGATATATAATTTCAGTGGCTTTTTATTTATCTATTTTCGTGTCTATGTATCTGTGATAATTAAATATTTGCCTCTATTTTGTCGATCTTTAGAGTTAAATCTTTTTTGTATCCAATTAGATATTCCGGTGACAAGAAATTTATTTTTGTTCTATTCTATTAATTCTTTTTATGTAGCTAAATTATTTTGTTTTTGTTTTTTTGTTGAAAATTCAAAATAGAGCTTTTTCTTTCTTTAAGATACAATAATCTCTTAATTATTCCTATCGTTTGCCTTTGTATATCTTTTCTTCTTTAATTATAAAACGTTCTGGACAAAAGAAACAAAATTAAGTCAATAATATATTTTTTCTTTTATTGTTCTCGATTTGTTGGTAACCACACGTACATTTGAAGTGTTACTTTTACAATTAAGAATTTAACTCAATAGCCAATATGTTCGATAGTTATTGTTTTCGTGCTAAATCCCGTATGAATCGTTTTCGACCACTTAATGGACTCATGCAACAAAAACGACCTAATAAAAAATGTTTAAAAAAAAAAGTAAAAGTGATGATTAATTTAATTAAAAAAAAAAGTATATCATACGTTGTACTGTCGGCTTCAATAATGATTCTAAATCATTTTCATTGAATAAAGATTGTTCTTAAAAAAGGAAATAATAAATTTTAATTTAAAAGCAAATCTTTGTGTCAGATTTCATTTTACCTGGAGTTGTCATATAGTTCATTATCAATTGCTGAATTGCATCTTGTTGTAAATTGTCAAGTTGATTCTAAATATTAAAAAATAAGCAATGAGAATATTTATTAATTTTTTCTTAAAAAGAAAAATGAGAACAACAATCATCGATGTTTTATTATCTTTTGTTTTCTTCGTTCAATTCAATTAGCCTTGATCAAGAAACAATGGTGGCGTCTTATATATATATATATATATATAAAATTTGTTTAGCAGATTAATAGAACTTAATCGTTTTTCAACACAAGAGACAAGGCCGATGTCTGCTTTGTTTTCTAAGTTCCACAAGGCCGGAAACGATTAACCATTGAAGTATAAAGCACGGCTATATATATTCATGTTAAGTCGCAATAAAAAATAATAAAGGGAGAATAATCGCTTTTTCTGTATCAGTAGATTGAAAATAAAAACGAAAACTTTGTTTTTTTTTTGTTAAACATGATTTTTCTAGAAATTAAAAAAATAATCATTTTTATACCTGATACTGGTCATCATGCATGATTGCAAATGAATGAATAAAAAGAAATTTGTTGCTGATAAGAATAAACAATAATAAATAGATTGATGCCATCGATGAATTGAAGTTTTTTCCTCCAATACCAAACATATTAAATGATATTTTATCCTTTGTCAATGACGGTGATGCAAAAAAATAGGTGCGAAAACCGAGTCTGCTCAAATAATCTTACAGATGTGAATATGATTTTGGTTGAAAAGTATTGACTGAATGAATATTATGGACTGCTCTTAAAACAGCGGCAAGAGGAAAGAACATAACAAACGATAAATCTTTTATTGATTAAAAAATAGATAGCGAGAGAGGAAGTGAGGGTGGAATAAAAACAAAGAGAGAAAGTGGGTGTGAGAAAAAAATAGGGAACAAGCAGAGTAAACTTGTCTCTTTTTTTTCTGAAGTCACAATAAGTTTATTTGGAAAGCTAATTTGAATTAATGGATCTTTGATTTAGCAAAAGAAACTAGAAGAAACGAAAAATACGTATTACTTTTTACATATCAAGATATGTGTAATATAAATGAGAGATCAATTCATCTGTTAGAGTGCTTGTTTACTGAAAGAAATTGTTATAGACTACTTTCTTCTTTTTAATAACCGTTAAGTAATATCAAGTAATGAATTGCTAATTTAGTATATATGTTAAGTCTTCGTTTTTTGTAGTACAGAGATGTATACTATGCATTGCAATGGAATATTTAGTATTAAATAAATTCTCAGATGAATACATGATATTAATATTAATCATTCTAATTTTTTTTTAATCTATAATCATCGTTTATATACGCTAAATTTTTCAAGAAAGAAACAAATCAAACCTTATTAAGCTTTGATGGTCTAAATGAAATAAAGAATATTTATGACTGAAATAAATAAGTCAAACTTTGAATATTGTCTTTTCAATCGTTTGATAAACTTAGTAATTCATATGATTGCCTATATAAAGACTTTCTATTCTCGTTATTTATATAGAATATGGTTTACTCGATTCATATAAGAACTGTATAATCATAAAGAATGGTAATTATTATATTTAAGTATTAGAAAAAAAAAAAGAATATGTATAATGATGTTCTTTCTTTATTTTTATTATTATTTTTATATAAGAAAAAACTAATACCAACACACAACATTTTGTTTTGGTACACATCGTTTTACACTCAATGCAAATGATGAATCAGGCGGGCATTCATAACGACGTTTGTTTGAACAATCTGTAAAGAAACGACACATTGAATCAGTTACGAAAGATGATGGATCCCAACAATTAGTTGATGCTATCGGTGTTGTTAGAAGTCTCGCTAATAAAACAAAATAAAAACAAGAAGAAATATAAAAAGATTAAAAAAAAACGAACAATGTATTCTTACATTTTGTTGAGCATTTTATTTGAACATCACTTAATTCTTTTTCTTTAACACATTTCTTTTTATCTTCAGAATAAATAAGTGGTGTAGGACATGTTCGTGATACCGTTATCTGTTTGCCACTAGGTGTTGTTAGACATTCATAATAACTTTGACAATTGTTTGAGACATTTGCATAAATTTGCTTTTCTTTTGCTAATATTAAAAACAAAAGATTCTATTTGATTATATATGAAAGATCAATGATGTTTAATGTTTTTGTATAATTGTATTAATTATATGATGAACACTTGGATACAGATGATTTTATCTCTTAGAATAGCAGTATAGGTATCATATTATTTGAAAATAGAATTTCGAGAATTGTTTATTTAATTCGCTTTTTTAAGACTATGGCATAGAGATAATTTAGAAGATTCGAGACTTTCAAAGATTTTTTTAGATATCGAAAATATGTTATTTATATAAAATCAAGAACAATAGCACATAGGCATAAAGTAGTATTTGTTTTGCGGCAATTTTTCTAGCATTACGGCGATCCAAAGATTCACAAAGATACGTTATCAGATGTTCGCATCCTTTTTAGCTGATATTTGGCCCATCAGTCGACCTTGATGAGCTATGAAAATTATCAAATAGGGTTTATGTCCGTGAGCGTTTCTTGTCTAATGTAGGATTGTGTGAGTATTTTTCATGCATATGAAAATAATAGCAAATGTTTTTTGATGACTATTAAAAGTTAGGAGACTGTAAATCGTTTTTGAGAGTAAACTTAATGGTAACTACAAATATTATTTCCGTTAGGACGTAAATTATTCATCTTCATGATTTTTATACCAAGCTGAGTTTACACTATTCTGCAGTACCATTAATATTTGTATTCAAGAAATTTTGAGATCTATCATTGGCAAACTTTGTAAGGTTGCAACGTTTGAAAGTTTAGTAAAATCTAGTTATCATTAGATTCACTCTCAAACAAGATGTACATTCTCCTACTTTTTAATAGTCATCAAAAAAGTAATTATCATCACTTTTACGTGCATGAAAAATACTCGAACAATTCAAAACTCGGCAAGTAACACTTATAAGTAAAAATTCTTTAGAGGCTTTTCATAGCTTACCAAAGCCTACTTATGGGCAAAAGATCAACTGAAAATTATGCGAAAACTTGGCAATGTTTCCTTGTAAGACAAAATTAGTACTGAACTTTGGCTAACGAACAGATTTAATTTATAGTATAACAAAACTGGAACAATATATTGAGTATATCGTTTAATATGAATAACATTTTTATACTTACAATATTGACAATACAATGCTGCCGTATCTGATTGATCAGGTTTTGGAGTAGTTGTAGGTGTAGTACGGGTTGTTGTTGATCTGGTTGATGGTGCTTTTCCATTGACAATATCTTTCGCTGTATTAATTAATGGGAATTTTCCTTCACCACACTTTTCACCACGAAAATCATCTAAATCCATTGCCCAAAACATGGCTCCGCCTAAATCCATTTCATTGACATATTCAGCCTATTTAAATAAATAATAAAAATAATATTAAAATAGAAAAAAGAATAGAGTATGCGATAGGATTATAAACTATTCGAGCTGTTGAAAACAAATGATTAATGTAGACGAGACTTTATAGGATAGAATTTTTATTTCCAAATTAAAAAGCCTATAATTTATATTTACACG